ATACTGTTTCAATTGAACGAAATTACTCTTGCAGAAGTTCATTCAAAATCAGTGATGTTGGGGTATTTTTAGCAGTTATGACGTTAACTTCAACGCATGTACTTACATTTTAATACCAAAGTATGAAGGCGACACTTACGATTGGATGTATGTGCATATTATCTGAGCGAAAACAAATTTTAAGAAGTGTTTCTAGGCCTAGAAAATACTGTTCTTGATGATGAACAGTAAATTCAGTAATATTTGTTATTTATCATCTAATATAAATCGACTTTTCGTCATCCTCACTTCAAGTCTAGAAAAAGGTTAAGTTTCACTTTTGGGATATCGCTGTAATCAAAATACGTTCTTTAAATCTCGATCCAGATCCTCGGTCTCAGAGTTTTCAAAATCGATGGAACAGGCATTTTATGTAATTCTGGTGATATACTCATATCAAAATTCCACGTGAACCATTCTCAGTTCATCCAAATTCAGTAATATTTGTTGTTTATCATTAAATCGACACTAAATGGAAAGAACGTCACGTAACAGCGCCACTTCCAGTTTCACTTTCAATAAAGCGATAAACAAGACGTGATCATTCTTAGTCTGTTTTTCGTCATGATCATTGCTTTGTCTTCCGTTTGTGGTTGTTTTTCAATCCCGGGATTGAGAGATTTTGTGAAAGGAATGGTCTGGTATGAATATTATTGTGAGAAATGATACGTACTTTGATATTTAAGTTGATCGATGATCGCATAACTGGAAAATCATGAAGTATCATAATCAAATGATCAGATAACGACAAAAACAAATTTAAAATCAAAAGCTGCAATTGTTAATGGTGTTAAATGAACCAATGAGAAATTAACGAGGAAAAATCGATGAAAGCAAAAATTACGATAAATTCCATGTCTTCATGATTCGATGTTTACAACAAGTTCTAAACGGGCGTCCTGCCTATGTTAACTCCTGCGCGCTGTGATTGAACNCTTAAATGTTTACGAAGATTTGATACACTCCAAGTGGGTGGATTGTTACAGCGTGCTGGTCGAGCAACTCAGGGTTTTCATTGTGAATGAAGCGTTGAGTTTAAACTAAGAACCATTGGTTGTTTCAAGATCTAGCTGAAGCTAATCTTCAATCGTGCACTCGAGCTGAGGCGCAGATTTGGTTGAGTTCGTCGTCAGCGATTGTGGTGGTGATGAAGCTCCTCGTTTTGTTGAATTCATATCATTAAAATTTCGGCGTCGATATTTTTTACAAAAATACCAGAGAGTCAGAGGAAGCTGCATACGTAAAGCACTCACGACAATGAGCGAGCGAGTCGAGGAAGCCTTCCGATTTTTACAGATTATTTGACGGCAAAAGTGACCAACACTTTCTAAGCTTGAGGTAATTTTATGGTTTTGTTTACCAGAAGCAAAATAAAAACAGATTTTAGCATGGACTTTAAGAGCAGATATTAGCAATCTAAGCTACAAAATTACTTACACCACAAATTTGATGCCTTTAAGCTGAGTGGTCGGTAGTCTTCGACTCGCTCTTATTTCTTCTCTTATTGCACTGCATATCTAAAAGATGGCTGAGGTATTTTCATAGAGGAACTCTGTACTATCGAAGGACTTATTGCCCAAGTCGAACATGTTTTCGTAGTTTCAGATGTTTTCTCATTAAGCCAATGTTGTAAACTTCATCACCCGTTATTGTCACCACCAGCAGTTGCTGCTGTCAGTGTTTTTGTGATTTGTTTCAATCATTCAACGAACTTCCATCGCTGCTCTTTTACCGATAAATCATTTGCTCTGAAAACAGTGTCAATAAACGTGTAAACAAGTAATTGGAAGAGGATTTGTTCGAGGAGCAACGAGAGTGAAAATACTGTCACCGCATTTTTTTCGTATGACAATCGAAACACTTCAAGCTCTTATGTGGGATTAGATTACAAACGACTATGTATTGGATGAAGTGCCATCAAGTTCTGAGTAACGCATTTAATACGCTGTTCATTTCGATACATCATTGAATGTTTTTGATTTGTGATTGCTCAGTTTGAAAAAGTTGAGATGCACTCACAGTATTTTACGTTTTGACTGAACGTGACACAGCGTTGTACGATGTGCTATTTTTACCACTGTTTTATCACATTACCAACTAACGCATTTGCAGTTCACGTGAATTGAGCTCATTGCAGCACTGCCTTTTCGTTCCGTAACGCAGCCTTTAGAAAACAGCAAGGTAGGTGTTCACCGGACCTACATAAGTGTAAGCCGGAGTTTAGTGCAAGCGGATGAACCTAAATTGTGGCTTAGTGCTTTCTGTAATTAACTAGTGTCATTTCAAAGCCTCCATTTAATGAAGCAACTCGAGATGTCATCGTCATAAAGGCGAAATACCATGTTTTGATTCACGCTCAGGATAGACGCGTTGATGCACTAAAATAGTGCAGTTAAGTGCGGTTGTGTGATCGTTAGAAATTGAACGTGCTGTTCGTTCCGTGAATTCATTTCAGTGACTTACTGGGCGAAATTGACGCAAATTTTATTTTCAGTTAGAGGTTCATAAGCAAGCCATCGAACTCTATCAAGAACAATAATTCAGATGCCGCATACTCCTAAAAAGGCGGCTTTTTCACCGTTGACCGTTAGTCCGAAAAAAGATGATGATAAGAGAGCAACTGGTTTTAGTGTTAGTTTTTTTCGATCNATATGTGCCCATAAACTTTACGAGTCAATATCTCACTGTCACATTATGCCTAAATCCGAAACAGACGACATCGTTGCCAACGTTTTATTTTAGTTTTTGTACAGGTTTTAAGTCAGACTTCAGTGTCCGATTTGTCTTCAGTAGTAATGAATTATAGGTAGAGTTAATGCGAGCAGTGTTAACTAATGATGAAGATGGTGTATTGAACTTGATAGATGAAGATGTAGATGTGAACGGATTGGATGATAAAGGATCATCAGCACTGCACGTGGCCGCTTTCTTTGGCTATGAATCCATTTTGATCTCGCTGATTGACGCTGGTGCTCGAATTGGTGCACGTGACAATTTATGGGTCACGCCGCTTCACAGGTTTTATTTCTTCCATCTGAATAACCTCTTTATTTACTCATTTCATTTGGATATCACTATCATCGAACAATACCATTGGGTCGTGCGACGTGGGACCGAAGGGAGAGTATATCACCGAGCCATAACTTGTACCTCAGCTTTAACTCATCTTAGGGAACAGCCATCATTTCATCATTGCTGACGTATTTTGTCAGTTTCAGCATCAGCACAATTTCAAACGAGATGAGGATAATATTGATGTCTCGTTTTGAATATCACTGTTACATTGTGATAGTGTATCCCTCAGTTCGATGTTCAAAAGCCTAAGTAAATTCAAATGTATATTGAGAGGATTCACATTTTCTCAGTTATCCTAATCATAATTGAATAATGAATTAACTCAACTCACTTCATTCTTTTCCACTGAGATGAACAGGTCATTATTTTCAGTTGAAACCTGTATCGTTATTGAGAATACTTAGTAATTTGCGTTGAGTGAGCATGTGGCATCCTTACTGTTGTTCTGTTTTGAGTTAATGTTTGAGTGAACGGGAATGTTAATTATTTTCAGAGCATGTATCAGAAATAATTATTCAGTGGTGTTAGCTCTGCTTGAAAGAGGTGCAAGTCCTCGCGCACAGTGCAAACGTTTTATGACACCTTTGCATTTAGCCGCACAAAATAATGCCATCAAAAGTGGTGAAATACTCATCGCATATGCACCTGATGTGATTGGTCAGTCGTTGCTTTTGAAATTAATTGCTTATTTGAGATGAGACTGTTATTCATCAATTTTATATCAGCTCAGTGTTCAAGTTGAGAAACATTCATTATTCATAGCTGTATGTTTGAAGTGGAATTTCCAGTTAGTTCTAGTTTGTAACGAACCATCAGGGATCATATATTCTTGCAATCATACATATTTGAAGTTTCCTTCTGATGAGGCCATCCACCGGAATGTTCAGCTGAACCGGAAAGTTTCTCTAAATCGAAATGAACAGGGATGAAATTCGATGAATAAAAACAGTTTCGAGGCGATTTTCCTTCCCA